TCTAGTGTTGGTTCTCTAGGGACTGTTAAGCCTTCTCTTTTGGATCAACCAACATCTTTAACATCTGCGGACAGATCCAGCTTGCATGGACTGACTACTTCTAGAAATGATGCAACAACAGGATCTGGGTCTCACCCAGTAAAATCTTCAGCAAAGAGTCGGGATCCTAGGCGTCGATTCATTAATTCTGATGGTGCTTTGGATCTTAATCGACATTCAGTAATGGACAATCCAACTAAAGTGGAAAATGTTGGAACTGTAATTTCAAAGAAGCAAAAGGCTATTGAAGCTCCATGTTTAGATTTTGCTGTAAAAAGACAGAAAAATGAATTGGAAAAACCCGGGAATGACACAAGAGACGTAAGAACTGCATCTGGAATTGGTGGTTGGTTGGAGGAGACTTCTGCAGCTGGATCTCAGTTGATGAACAAGAACCAATTGTCAGTGAATGTGGAAGCTGAAGCCAAAATGATTACTAGTGCAATAACTGGTCCTTGTACTGGTTCCAGCAGTTTCAATGTTATCACAACAAGCAATGGAAATGAGGTGGCACCTATTTCTAATGCCACTGCTTCCTTGCCTGCTTTGTTGAAGGGTTTAGCCGTAAACCCATCTATTTTGCTAAACATACTCGTAGGGCAACGAAGATTAGCAGAAGAAGTGATCCAGAAATCTGCTGATTCTGCTACACCTGCGCCACATCCTCCAAGCACAAGCTTTATGATGGGAGCAGACTCAACTGTGGCTGTTAGTCCATTAAAGACCACTGAACTCTCGCAAAATTCTTCTGAAATTCCTTCAGCTTCCCCACAATTGACTTCCATGGTAAAATCCTTTGAGCAGAGTATTGACATTTTAAATATATGCTGGCATTATCTTTACATTATTTATTTCATTATTGCCTTAGTTTTGTGAAATCTGATTTAACTCGAAGCACTTGTTAACATTTTGTTTGTTAATTATATGTGGATGACCCAGACATTGGTTGTAACATCGGGTTAAGTTTTTTGCTGTGGATATCTCATTTGGCTGATTGTAGTTTGCATATAATACTTAGGTGCAAAACCTACAGGATGATTCAGCAAGGATTCACATGAAACCTCGTGATCCACGACGCATTCTCCATGGTAATACTCTCCAAAAGAGTGGGAGCATAGGGAGTGAGCAATACATGGCCATTGTACCCCCTAAATCAAACATGCAGGGAATAGGGGACAACGGAAATGCTCTAAAGCTGGACGGTTGGGCAGATGCAAAATTGATGCCTTCTCAAACAATTTCACCACCTGATATTGCTCGACAGTTCACTAAGAATCTGAAAAATATAGCTGATATTATGTCTGTTTCTCAAACAACATCAAGCCATTCTGCCATTAGTCAAAGCTTTTCTTCTGCATCAGGACCCCTTGAACCAGATAGAGTGGAACAGATATCTGTAGTGTCAAACTCTGAGAATCTGCGTACTGGTCTAGGTTCAGCTGCTGAAGTAGGTGTAGCAGGTTCTTCTCAACCTCCTAGTACATGGGGAGATGTTGAACATCTTTTTGTTGGCTATGATGAGCAGCAGAAAGCTGCGATACAGAGAGAAAGGGCTAGGAGGATAGCAGAACAGAAGAAAATGTTTGCGGCTAGAAAGTTATGCCTTGTCTTGGATCTAGATCACACACTTCTCAATTCAGCCAAGGTAATTTGCATGGAATGAGTTCTTTAGTACGTGAAAGTTTCCATGTCTGCATATTAACTTTGCCCCTTCTAGTTTGTGGAAGTAGATCCTATGCATGATGAGATCTTGAGAAAGAAAGAAGAACAAGACCGTGAGAAGGCTCAGAGACACCTTTTCCGATTTCCTCATATGGGAATGTGGACCAAACTAAGACCAGGGATCTGGAATTTTTTGGAAAAGGTAATATAAATTGTAAAATATGATTTCGATGAGATGCTGGACTGAGGTTTAATTTTAAGCTAAAGCACTTATTTCCCATATGCATCATAGGCTAGTAAGCTGTTTGAGCTGCATCTTTACACGATGGGAAACAAGCTATATGCAACCCAAATGGCAAAGGTGCTTGATCCAAAAGGAGTTTTGTTTGCTGGGAGAGTTATCTCTAGGGGTGATGACACTGATCTTTTTGATGGTGATGAGAGGGTTCCCAAAAGCAAAGATCTGGAAGGTGTTTTGGGGATGGAATCAGCTGTCGTAATTATAGATGATTCTGTGAAAGTATGGCCTCATAATAAACTGAACCTGATAGTGGTGGAAAGGTCAGTGTACCTTGGGCTGAAACTTAAAACACATCTTGTTGCTTCGTATACTGATTGGCTGCTTCATATTTTAAGTTGATTGGTATTGTAGGTATACATACTTCCCCTGTAGTAGACGTCAATTTGGACTTCCTGGGCCTTCTCTTCTTGAGATTGATCATGATGAGAGGCCTGAAGATGGGACCCTTGCATCCTCTTTGGCGGTGAGGTTATAGTCAATTTTCTCCATGATTTGTGGCAGTTTATTCATATTTTTTGTTTTGTTGTTGATGATTATTTCTCTTACTCAAATAGGTAATTGAAAGGATACACCAAAATTTTTTTGCGTCTCAATCCTTAGAAGAAGCAGATGTCAGAAACATTCTTGCTTCTGAGCAGAGGAGGATCTTGGCTGGTTGTCGCATAGTTTTTAGTAGGGTGTTTCCTGTTGGTGAAGCCAATCCTCATCTACATCCATTGTGGCAGACAGCTGAGCAATTTGGTGCTGTTTGCACAAACCAGATTGATGATCAGGTTACCCATGTGGTTGCCAATTCCCTTGGGACTGACAAGGTATTTTGGTATGGTCTTGTTGGGTAGTATTTATGGGCAGAATTATCGTGAGGTCCCAAGAAAAGGATTTAATTACCAAGAAGTTCTATTGACAATTGAGCAGTATAAATTTGTTGTTATTTTTTACTTTGGAACTTGTCATTGCATGCTCTTTAGTTGTCAAAGAATTTTAGGTAATTAAATCCCTTTCTTGGGACCTGATTGCAATTCTCCTTAGTATTTATGTGCCGATATTTCCTTGGGATCAAAAATTATATTAACACAAAAATCAAATATTAAATTTCATGTCTTTCATTCTTCTGTTTTGGTTTTAACCATATGATGACTAGAAATAGTGGATATTCCCTCTAGCCAAAAGAAAAGGTGAAAAATTCTGTCCTCCGCTGACTACCCCGCCAACTCCTCTATTGTTCTTGCTTCCCGAGATCAAACATGGTGTGAAGGCATCGTTTCTGAATTTGGATCAATTCAATCGGGGGATTCACACTTTGCGTCATGGTTGAATCTAATATCGTTTAGATAAATTTAGACTTTCTGGATTTTAATTCCTCCTTGCTAAAAGATTGACATGTTTATTAAAGAAAGCAGAAGGCAAAAGAAATCTTCTCACTTGTAACTTTCCCAAAAAAAAAAAAAAAATTTGTTTTCAGCGTAAACAACTTTTTAAAAATTCAAATTTAATGCATATAGATTAAATCAAATTTAGAGGATTTAGATTTGACAATTAACTGAACCAACATCTTACCTTCTGTAGGGACAATCTTTGTTGTATATTAAATGGTTGGATCTAACAAATACATTTTGCTTTTTTTGTGTCCTCTCTCTTGAGCAGGTGAACTGGGCTCTTTCCACTGGCAGATTTGTTGTCCATCCTGGCTGGTGAGGATGTCTCAATTTATTGTTCTAACCTGCTCTCAAATTCCGTTTCTACTTTATTGATGAATTTGGCTTGTGCTGCTTCTCTTATGCCGTATGAAAAACAGGGTGGAAGCATCGGCTTTGCTTTATAGGAGGGCGAATGAGCAGGATTTTTCCATTAAACCATAAAAATTCACCAACCAAATTATCTCTTGTAATCTAAAATACGTGAAACTTAAATCAAGCATCACATTGATTTTGGGTATGAAATCCATCAGGTCGGAAGTTGGCTGGGTGGAGTGGCCAAGAGCCAATTTTGATTCATCATGCCTGCTCATAGTATGCGAGAAAAGTGCAGAGTCACTTCTGATGACGACAGTGGCCAGTTGATGGAGGACCTTGTGCTGGCCACATCACTCGGGTGTTTCAATGGACTGAAATTTTGAGTTTACTGGTGACTCGTGAGAGAAATTACCAAGAGCTCCGGTGCCATGTTATGTGATTTCAAGCTGGAACGTGTGGGTCCCGAATTTGTTGGGTGTCAGCGTGCATTAAATAGAGGTTACGATGGTGGTCAAAAAAGAAACATTGGATATATAAACCAAACCTAACTAGTTTAACTCACTGATAATTGATGACAATGAAGCTACCCCATTCAATTTTTTGAAATTCAAATCAAGCCAGCCTTGGCTCGGGAGAATACTAACATCACCTGCAAATTGCAAGTTTTATGTGGGTTATGGTACCTTGGCTACGGTTTCTATAGCAGGTGCATGAGAAAGATAGATGGAAAGGGCATTATGCTTGTAATTATCTCCATTACCCCTGCCCAACAATTGAATAGTAGGATTCGGGTGCAGTGCCTAGAAAGGACCGCAGAATTTGCACCCCGTCTCTGGCAAATACGGAAGGACTACCATTCTCTGACTGCTTTTTCTTCAATGGAATAACTCCCATCTCTATAAACTTTTCTGTTTTCTTATTTTTCCCTAACGCGTTTCAAAATGTCCAGCAATTTTCAAGCTGAAACCCCGCCAAACCATTCTGTCCTTAAAAAAGGGGAAGAGGAAAAATTGAAAAAGAGAGAATAAGTAGTCACATGCCTGAAACGAATCTATGCTGGTCTCTTAATCCTAACGATTTGAAGGCCGGTGGGGTTTGATTCCGCCAGGTTTTTAGCTCTTTCGTTAAGCTTGATCGATCTCAGTGTCTTGGACCTTAAAAAAAAAAAAAAAAGTGTTTAGTGCCTTTAAAATTACCCGTGGGAAGGTATAAATTTGAAAGACACTGAATACACGCCCCAAAAGTGATAAAAGTATTACTTTTAGGATTACCAACTGAAGTCTAATCCTTGCATGTGAGGATAACTTTTACACCGCCTCTATGATTGGCCAATACGTATTTGGTAGTTCTAGTTGCCCTGTTCCCATCATGAGGTGGTTGGACGTGCCTTGTAAGGAATCTCGTAGCTAACTTATAACGGAAGTACTAACACTTGTCTTTGTTGATTAAAACAGCGTGCCATAAGATATGGAAAACGAAGTGGAGCTGACAACAGTGATGATAATAATAAATAACATTAACAAGGATCTGGATAAAAAGACGTCAAGATTTGAAATGCAACAGCATAGACGGGGTACAAGGAAAAGAGATGCGTGGAGATGATGGGGAATGAAACCAGCAAAGTGAGGTTGGTAGAGGCTTGTCAAAGCCGTACCAAGAAAACGCTGTGAAAAGGAAAAACTGATAATAAAGACAATAAAATGCGGGTCGTGGAGACAGGCAAGAGCCAACAGGCGGGGGCGAGTTCACAATGAAGAACGCAAAAGGAGAGGACACTACTGCTTCATTCTCATGGTGGCAGGATAGCCATAGTCGTCCTCCTCAATCACCATGGCTCCAAGCTACGCTTTCAGGTCATTTGGCTTTCAGCTAGTTCGATGTTTTTCTTTTCTCAATCCGTGCTTATGATAAGCGCGCGCACTCACACATAAATACCGTTTGCTTCTCCGACCTTCCTCTCCTCTGTTTCAACTTTAAAGTCCACTTGGATGATTGGCTTTGTGTCATATAGGTTTGGTTTGATCTTTGTAAAACTGTCTTGTGATATATGTATATATATTACTACATGAATGATGAACAGATCTTGACGAGAAGACGAAGGTGATGGTGAGCATTATCGATCAAAACGATGGTGATTCGTTCTCGAGAAGAGCCGAAACCTTCTACATGAGAAGACCTGAGCTAGTTGGCACGATCCGCAACGTGCACAGATCCTATGGCTCCCTGGCTCGAAGGTACAAGCAACTTGCAAGTCCGGTTTTAAATTTAGAGGATGATTCGTCGTCGTCGTCATTTTTTTCTTCTTCTTCCTCTTCTTCCGCTGCTGCTATTGAAAATGGAAGGAGGCGTTTGGGTTATGATGAGATAAAGGCGGTGTCAGAGGAGAAGAAGGTAGAGGTTGAAATAGCAGACACAAGGTTAAGGGTGTTGAAGCTGGCGGAGGGTAACTTGTATGAGCAGGCTGAGTTGACGAGGAAGAACAATCACGACAGAGAAGCTATTCGACTTTTCTGCACACGCGTCCAAAGGCTAGTGAATGAGGAGCACCGGGACCCGAACTCTTTCTTACGAACCCCCTCCTCCACGTCGCCCCCTTAGCAAACTATATATACCTTACTTTTCCATTTCATTTTCCAAAAACAAAAATCTCTTCTAAATTCATCATGTGATTATCCGCATACACGAACGTGAGTTAAAAATTCCATGACTTCGATAATTATTCTTTTTTGTACATAACATTAATATAGCTGGATGTATAGATACGCCAAGGCATTCATATATTATTTATCAATAAATATATTGATGTAAATATATGACTTTCTCCATTGATGTTTTTATATATTTATTTGTTATATGATATAAAAAAATATATTGGAATATTGAAATTTAAAATGATAATACTTTAAATATCAAAGTATCAGATAAAATATCAACAGATCAGAGAAAGATCTACAACTTTTTAACGTAAAAGTCACATTGTCAAAGGGGGCGAGACCTGTTGGCCAAAAAAAAAAAAAGAAAAAAAGAAGGGGGTGAGACAAATAGTCACGACATTATCATCTTACCATCCATTTTAAGATTTTGTGAAATTTTTATTATATAGGATTCATATATAATTTTTTATTATTCTATGAAATAATAATTTTTAGTACTCTAATGGTTGCAAAATAATTTATTTTCAAATAATATATAATAATTTGTTGGACAAAAATAATACATAATAATTCAAAAATACCTAATAATTTAGATTTAACAGAGTTTTAATTAGATTAGAATAAAATATTTTCTGAGTACATCATACATACCTTTTCCTTACTATAAAATTAGGAGCCATTTGCCACTAAGGTATAGAGCTAATAATGTTAAAAACGATTAAAATCAAATTTGTTTTGGAATTTCTTTCAAAAAAAATATTTTAAAATTTTTAACAATAAGAACAAAAAGGTAAAAGACAAATCATTAATGCTTTCAATTCTTAATTGATTTTTGTACAATGATATCGGCAATATATAATATTTACCAATCGCTGGCAAAAAAAAAAAATTATAATATTTACCAATCAGTAAAAGCGTGCTATTTAGAATTGTGAAAGTTGTAAGACTTTTGTATGACCAAGCCCAACGATGTTTTATTGATAAATGGGCTTTTTATTTTGTGCTTCAACATCCACCCGCGAAACGAACTGGAGTTGTTGGATAGGGAAGCTCCTTCTCAAGGTGACGAATCTTAAAGAAGCAAGTGACTTTATGGCAAATCGAATCATAGGTGTGTCGTGGCAACAAAACCTGAGAGCAAATTTCTTGCAAAAAAACAGAGATTGCCATGGCGAAGCACAGTTGTCGTGACGTGCTTAACAGAGGCTCACAGCACTGATGCCAAAAACTAGTTCAGATGCAATCTAGATTTAATATTTTCTCTAAAATTACTTCCAAGTTAATCAAAACAAATTTCAAAATCAATTTTACAGCAAAAAAAACACTTCCAAAACGCAAGACCACTTTTAAAATCAAAATGCACAAGATGATTAAGATGATTGGTAGCGAATTCCAATGATTATGCAGCAACCACAATGCACCAAAATTGAGTATGCAAGAGAGATAAACTGAAACAAAAACACTTCTAAAATCTTTGTTTTAATTTTCCAAAAAATTTTCCTTTTGCACAAACCAAAAACTTCAAGCAAAAACAATTAAGTGTACTGCACAAACAACCCTGTCCAAAATGATATTTGGACATAGGATTACTAAGGAGCTGGGCTCCTTGGCAACAGTGCCAAATTTGATAAGCCTTGTTATAGGGTTGTCAAATAAAAACAAAGTAAATCCAACACAGTAGCATAACCTAGGTTGTTTCACTTGCTGAAGCTGAATTATCCTAGTAATCTAAGTTCAAATATCAAATTAACCAAAGGGAATAAATGAAATGTATATGTATAGTGAAGTGATTGAATTAAGGACTAAAGGAAACTATCTAAATTTTGTTTTCTGAACCCTGCAACCATTCTGCCTCGTTGCGGCCAAGTACTGTCAAAGAGTTGTTAGTTCCTCTCGGGATAGCTTTGTCGCAACAAACATATTGCTTCACCGCTGCCAACACCTAATTTTTTTATTTTTCCCTCATTCACTTCACATTCCTTTTTCATATTTTCTTGACATTCTTCTACCCATAAACACTTCATATACATTCTTTTGTCCATAAATACATACTCGTATATACATATTCATACTTGCTTGCACTTATTCATATCATCCATTTTAATCTGATCTTGTGTGCAAGTTTACATTGTTACTTTGTACTCTTTTGATTACTTGTGTATGACAAAGAGATCTTCATCTCTTGTGCCTTATAATTTAGAGATAGAGAGAACCCTTACAGCAATAAGAAAAGAAAAGAAAAATATAGGAACTAGTAAGGTTGTGATAAAGGAGGAATCAACTCCACACGCATCTAACCTACTTCCTAGTGACCCTGCAATAGAATTTGATTGGACTTCTCCTTGTTATGCACACACCATGGTTGGAACTAAAGAGCAATCCCTAATCCTAATGAACCAGAACACTTGAATAAAGGGAATGGGGACGAGTTACATAACAACACACTTAATACAAAGGGCAGACATGAGAATAATAGAATCAATGGTAACCCTAATAGGAGAAGAACAATTAGGGAGGCAACACAAACATATGCTAATTTTGATCCTTTGTATGCTACTTTTCCAAATTTTGAAAATGATTTTGAAATCAAAGGTCAATTAGTACACTCACTTCGTAAATTTTATGGATTGACAAGTGAAAATCCCTATACACACATCAATGCTTTGCAAATGCACTATTCAAGCATGAAACTAATTGGTGCAAAAGTTGATGATGTGATGCTTGAAGTCTTCCATCTATCCCTTAAAGGAAAAGCTAAGGAATGGTATATGACGTTGCCTAGGTATGCTGAAAATTCCTATCGGTCTTGGACAAACTTGAGAAGGGCTTTTTTGGATAAATATTTTTCCTCTTCTAGATAAATTTTTCCTCTTCTAGATAAATATTTCCTCTTCTAAGACATGTACTTCTTGTAAGGAAATTTCTTTAGCCAAACAAGATGAACTGGAGTCATTTTATGATTTTTGGAACCGCTTTGAAGAGACGTTGGCCATGTGTTCCCACCACCAAATACTAGAGAATCATTTGGTCCAATATTTCTATAATAGGCTCCAACCTCATGATGCGGATATGCTTGATGCCGCAGCTCACGGTTCCATTGAGGACATGGTAGCAGAAGATGCTTGGGTATTGATTAAGAGATTTGTACTTAATTAACAACATCACAACTCAAGCGATACAAGAGTAGTTAATGGAATAGGAAGTTCATTAAGAGATCCTTTGTTAATTAAGCTATCTCATGATATGGCTAAGCTTACCTCCACAGTAGAAAGCTTGAGGGTGCAACAACCAATGAATATTCCAACACCTCAATCTCTAGCTATGGTAGCTCCAAGTTGTGACTATTGTGGATCACAAGTGCATATTTCTAGTGTGTGTCCACATAAATATGAAGTGGTTTCTGCAATGTATCAAGGAATAGACTCTTAATTTCAAAAGCAAAATCCTTACTCTAATACCTATAACCTTGGACAGAGGGATAATTTTAACTTCAAGTGGAGGAGTGAAGGAAATCAAGAAAATTTTAATGGAGGAGGCCAAGAGAACTACCAAGGGAAATGGTGCCTATAGATGAACCCTCTTTATCTTCAAAAAAAAAGAGGATGATATAACTTTGATTTTGAAGGGCATATCCAATATAAATAATGATCTTGTTGATGCGAAAACTAGAATAAGTGGCTTGTCATCTAGACTTGAGCAAGAAGAGTCTTGTTTGTCCAATGTTTTTGCTAAGTTGGAGCAATGGGAGACCAAGCATAAAATCTTGACTCCTATATGACTAAGTTCTCTAACAACATAAGTGAAACTCAAGCTAGAAGTAGTGGTTCTATGCCATCTAATACTATGATAAATCCTAAGTCTCTTAATGCCATTACTTTGAGGAGTGGTAAAAAAGTTGATTTCAATGAAGAGCTTGGGGATGATGAAGTTGACGAGGAAATAGTGGTGGAATCACCTTCTACTTCTAGTGAGCCTAAAATTACTCCTAAAGAAGCTTCTATCAAATTTGAAAGTGCTAAAGAGAAAAATCTACTTAAGAAGTCCTTGAAGCCACCAATAGTTAAAGAAGAATCACAAATGAAGGACAACAAGAAAGACCAACACAATCATGCCTCTTCAAGCAAGGGTAGTGAGGTAAAAATTCATGATCTTCCTCTTCCTAATTCTTATTTAGTGAGTAAGAAGATTGTGGATGATAAAAAAATGATGAATTCCTACAGTTATTTAGCAAACTTGAGGTAAATATGCCTATGCTTGATTTGATAAAAAAGATGCCTAAGTGTGATAAAATTTTGAAGGATATATGTACAAACAAGAGGAAATACAAGCATAGTAAGAGAATCCAACTAGGGTCTAGTGTGAGTGCCTTGTTTAAACCACAATTGCCCATCAAATGCAAAGACTTTGGTGCTCACACTATTCCTTGTACAATAGGAAAACTCACTATTACTTATGCATTGCTAGACTTGGGAGCTACCATCAATGTTATGCCTACTTTTGTCCATAAGAAATTAGGTATCAAATCTTTAAAGGACACAGGTGTAGTATTAGGCTTGGCCGATAGAAGTGTGAGGTATCCCCAAGGTATCTTAGAGGACGTGTTAGTTGAAGTGAAATGTTTTGTGTTTCTGGCTGATTTCTATATACTTGACATGACCAACGAGATGCACACCAATAGCACCTTAATCCTAGAAAGACCATTTGATCGGACCGGAATATCACCTTCCAGGTTATCAAGAATGTGATTACACTAGATAATGCAGTGTAGGTCACAACCAATCGTTCTTCTCGAGAAGAGCTTAATTGGAAATCCTAAACTAGATTGGTTATCAAAAACATGTTAATTTGGGTAAAGAAAAAGGGGGTTTGAATTGGTAAAATAGTGGTGCAATAAAGGTAGAATACAAAGAAGTAAATCTTTTTGGTCTTTTAAATAAATGAAGGAATTGATATGAGGTGACACATGAATGGACGGGCTAGAATCAAGTAACGAACGGATGGTTGATCTAGGTAGGACTTTAAGAGAACCTGTCTCTTACAACCCTAGCCATGAAGACACCACAAGGTTGATCAATCCCTTGATACTGTCGAGTATTCTCACGAGAATACATGGATGCAAGCAAAGCTCACACAGAGAGAAATAAACTAGTTCTCATTCATCTAAGTTTGAATTCAATTACAAAAAACGTAACCTATATATAGGCAACAATAGAACACTCTAGAATCAACATCCTAAGACATAAATGCTAGGGAAGATGCCTCATTAATGATTATTTGACTATGGGAGGCACTATTTATTACATAGAAATAAAAGGAAATAACTTAAACTTCAAGAACAAGTTTGCTATTTAAAAATAGGAAAGTAGATCAAAACATGATCTTCTAGAACACTCCTTGACAAAAAAAAACAAATTTAAATCATAATCAATTGATAATGATGCCTTCTTGATCCTTCTTGAAGATTCTTGGACGTCACTTATGACCCTTGTCCAAGGCACATGCTTGTCACATGGTATTTTAAGTGAATTCTTCAATCTGAACCCCACATAGGCGTTGTACATCATCTTATTGGGCTTCTAGAAATGTGATCACCATTTTTGGACTCCTTTTAGGCTCATTAAAATGTGCTTCTTCGAAATAAATGGGCTCCAGCTCTTTTAGCTCTCTTATTAGACAATTTAGGGCCTCCTTCATAACTTTGGTCCTTGCTCTTGTCATTGGGCCTCCAATGCCTTGTAATGGATCTTTTGAAATGTTAGACTTCTTTTTTTGGGCTCCTTGCCTGTGGTCTTGATCATACCATGCTCCTCCATCATTCCCTCCCTGCTCGAAAGGATTCGTCCTCAAATCTATAACATCAAAGAGAGATAAATCAACAACATTAAAAGTAGCACTAACATTACCATAGGAACTAGGCAAATCTATTTTATAAGCATTGTCATTGACCCGCTCTAAGACTTAGAAAGGGCCATCTCCTCTTGGATGTAACTTAGGTTTGAGTTGATTGGGAAATCTCTCCTTCCGCGGGTGTACCCAAACCCAATCTCCAGGCTCAAAGACAATCCTTCAACGACCTTTGTTCGCTTGCCTAGCATATTGCTCATTCTTCCTCTCTATGTTGGCTCTCACCTTAGCATGTAATCCCTGCACAAACTCAGCCTTTTTCTTGCCATCAAGATTTCCTTGCTCATTAGAAGGCATTGGTAGTATATCTAAAGGAGACAAAGGATTAAATCCATAAACAACCTTAAATGGAGAGAAAGAAGTAGAAGAGTAAATAGCTCTGTTATATGCAAACTCAATATGAGGCAGACAATTGGCCCAATTCTTCAAGTTCTTTTGGATTATTGCACGCAATAAGATAGTAAGTGTTCTGTTGACTACCTCAGTTTGCCCATCAGTTTAGGGATGTGCCATAGTAGAAAACAACAACTTAGTTCCTAGCTTACTCCATAAAGTCCTCCAAAAATGGCTAAGGAACTTCACATCCCTGTCACTCACAATGGTTTTAGGCAATCCATGCAACCTAGCAATTTCCTTGAAAAACAAATCAGCAATATGGACTGCATCATTTGTTTTAGAACATGCAATAAAATAAACCATTTTACTAAATCTATCAACCACAACAAAGACACTATCCTTTCCAGACTGAGACCTAAGCAAACCCAACTCAAAATCTATAGAAATATCTACCCAAGGTTGGGAAGGCACAGGTAAAGGGGAATACAAGCCATGAAGTTGAACCTTAGAATTTGCATGCTTACATGTGACACATTTGGTGCAAACAGAAATGACATCTTTCCTCATATGAGGCCAATAAAAGTGTTCATGCAAAATAGCTAATGTTTTATCAACACCAAAGTGACCCATCAAACCACCACCATGAGTTTCTTTTACAAGCAGCTCACGCATAAGGCAATTAGGAATGCACAATTTATCTTTCTTAAAAAGAAACCCATCAGATCTATAAAAGTCATTCACCCCATGCTTTTCACAGGAAAGCCAAATTTTAGAAAAATCACAATTAGAGTCATACAACCCTTTTAATAATTCAAATCCATGTAATCTAGCATGAAGAGAAGTGATAAGAGAATACCTCCTAGAAAGAGCATCAGGAACAACATTCTCTTTACCCTGCTTATGCTTGATCACATAAGGAAACGTCTCTATGAACTCTAACTAGCGAGCATGCCTCTTGTTAAGCTTACCTTGAGACTTTAGAAACTTCAAACTTTCATGATTAGAGTGAATAATGAACTCCTTGGGCTATAAATAATGCTACTATGTTTCTAAAGTTGGTTTTAAAGCATAGAGTTCCTTAACATAAGTAGAGTAATTCAAAGAAGCTCCACTTAATTTCTCACTGAAGTAAGCAATAGGCCTAGACTCTTGCATTAGAACAGCACCAATACCAATCCCAGAAGCATCACATTCAACTTCAAAAACTTTATTAAAATTAAGTAAACACAAAAGTGGTGCATTGGTTAATTTCTCTTTCAAGGTATTACAAGCTGTTTCTTGTGTCATATGCTTCTTAACAAGCTCATTTAGAGGCACAGCAATAGTTGAAAAATCTTTGACAAACCTCCTATAGAAACTTGCTAGTCCATGGAAGCTCCTGACTTCATTGGCATTCTTTGGGGTTGGCCAATCTCTTATAGCTTTCACCTTTTCCTCATCCATACGGATCCCTTGAGCACCTACAACAAAACCAAGAAACACAACAGAATCCATGCAAAAGAAGCATTTTTGAAAATGAGCATATAAGCTATTCTCCCTAAGAGTTTGAAACACTTCATGCAAGTGAATAACATGGTCATCTATTGTTCTACTATAGACAAGAATAGACAAGAATATCATCAAAGTAGACAACCACAAACTTCCCAATAAATGAACGAAAAACATGATTCATCAAGCTCATGAAAGTACTAGGTGTATTAGTTAACCCAAAAGGCATAACTAACCATTCATACAATCCAAATTTAGTTTTAAATGTTGTTTTCCATTCATCTCCCTCTTTCATGCGAATTTGATGATAACCACTCCTAAGATCAATTTTAGAGAATAAAGTAGCACTATGCAACTCATCCAATATGTCATCTAATCTAGGAATGGGGTAGCGATACTTAACTATTATTTTGTTTATGGCTCTATAATCAATGCACATTCGCCACGAACCATCTTTCTTAGGCACTAAGAGTACTGGAACATCACATGGGCTCAAGCTTTCTCTCACAAAGCCTTTCCTCATAAGCTCATCTATTTGGTGTTGGATTTCTTTAGTTTTATCAGGATTGGCTCTATAAGCAGGTCTATTAGGTAGAGAAGCTCCAGGAATAAAATCAATCATATGCTCAATTCCTCTTAAGGGAGGAAGCCCATCAGGTATCTCATCTGGGAATAAATCACCAAATTCCTGTAACAAAGACATAACACTAGAGGGCAAAGAGGGGTTAAGATCGTTGGTGGAAAAATAAGCATCCTTACACACAAGCACCAGGACTTGCTCACTCAACAATACTCTCTTAACCTCACTTTTTCCAAAAATTAAACTCTTTATCTTTTTTTCACTTTTCTCATGTTCTTTCTTTCTCTTTTCTCTCTCTTTAGTTTCTTTCTTTTCCACTCTCTCCTTTTCTTTCAACTCATTCATTCGTTTGCAATCCTGCTCAATCCTTACTTGGTCCTCATAAGCTTCTTTTGGCCCAAGAGGCTTCAATACAATGATTTTTCCATTGAATGGTATAGAATAAAATTTTTTGTAACAATCATGGTGAGCTTTGCTATCAAATTACCATGGCCTTCCGAGTAAGAGATATCTAGCAAGCATTGGAACCACATCACATAGAACTTCAGTATGATAGTTCCCAATAGAAAAAGAAACCAAAACCTGCTTAGTGACTTTAGCCTCAGCACTATCATTCAACCATTGCAATTTATAAGGTTTAGGATGCTTCATAGGAGGCAAGTCTAGCTTTTCAACTAGTAAGGTACTAGCAACATTGGTAACACTACCACTGTCAATAATCATGCTGCATACCTTATTCTTTATGAAACATGTCACATCCAGCATTATGGTAATTAGAGATAAGAAATATTCTCAAATTATTGAGGATTAAAAATGATAAGGAAAAGTCAAAGGATTTTGGTGGAAAATAATTACAGTAATTTTCCAAGCCAATTATAGGAAATTGACTAATTAAGGAAAATTGGTCAAATGTAAATAAGGAAAAATATTTTCGAGCCTTGAAAAATTAAGAAAAAATAGGGATAATATCCTTTGAGGGTTATATGAAATTATAAAGTTGGTGTTATGACCAAATTACCCTTAGAAAAATTATAAGAGAATTTAAGGGTGATTTAGGCTAATTAAGGGATTTTATTTGGAAAATTCCAAATAAATATTTTTAGGGGCAATAAAATTCCAAGAAAATTCCTATGAGATCCCAAGGAATTATAAGGAATTATAGAATTAAATGAAGACCCTCAAGTGCCCAAGATTTTTCCAAATAAATGTGAAAAGTGGAAAAATCTCTAAAGGGAAGGAAATTAATTTTCCTTTATATTTAATTATTAGGAACTTAATTTTGAGACAAAGAGGGCAATTTGGAAAGATAAAAATGAGGAGATTAAATTAAGGATCTGACAAAAAATAATTACAGAGGCTAAGCTACTGTAATTATAGAAAAGAAGTTAAACTCAGAGCCTAAAGTATACCGATAAAGCAAGATTGGTGTCTTGCAAA